TAGGTGTGAAGGATCACAGCTCAACATAATTAAGACTGTAAATGACAAATTCATATCCAAAATCCTATAGAATGGGGAAAACTGAAAGCATTTCTTCTAAAATCAGAAACAAGACAAGGGTTTTCACTTTCATGATTCTTATTCAATGTAGTATTTAAGGTTTTAGCCAGAAAAGCAGGCAATGAAGGACACAAATAAGAAAAAGGAAGTAAGATTTGTCATGTTTGCGCATGATATGATCCTTATTCAGAACTCTAAAAATTTTACCAAAAGACTTATGACTAGTAAACAAATTCAGCAAAGTAGCAAGGTATAAAATCAACACACAAACTCATGAGATTTTCTATACACCAATAATGAACTCATTGAGAAAAACGTCAGGAAAACAATACCATTCATAGTAGCCTAAAGAAGAAAATACCTAGGAGTAAACCTAACCAAGGAGGTAAACAATTTCTATAATGAAAATTTAAAACACTTGGAGAAATTATAAGATGGAAAGATTTCTTGTGCATATGGGTTTGGAGAATTAATATTGTTAAAGTGTCCATACTACAAAATGCAATTCCCACTAAAATAGCAGTGACTTGTTTTTATTGAACTTGAAAAAAAATATCTTACAATCCATATGAAGCACAAAATAGCTCCCCCTCCAAGCCAAAGCAATCCTGCCAAATAAGAACAATACTGGAATCCTCACAGTATTTAACATCAAAATATACTTTACTATTAAAGCCATTGTAACAAAAACAGCATGATATTGACAAAAATACACACACAGACCAATGTAATAGAATAGAAGAACCCAGCACAAACCTAGGCATCTACAGCAACTGGATTCTCAGAAAAGTACCAGAATAAAACACACTGGAGAAAGATAGCTTTTTAAATAAGTGGTGCTGGGAAAGCTGAATACCTGCATGCAGAAGATTAAGATTAGATCCTTAACTCTCACTATGTACTAAAAAAATCAATGCAAAATTGATCAAAGACCTTAATGTAAGACCTGAAACTTTGAAAATATTAGATGATAGCTGCTACGCAGGGATGATGCTGTGGATTCACAGGAGAAAATATTCTCCTATGATAAAATAGGAGGAACACTTTGAGGTATTGGTACAGGCATCACCTTCATAAGTAGGACTCCAATAGCTCAGGAAATTATGCAAGAACTGACAAATGGCATCACATCAAATAAAAAAGTTTGTGCACAGCAAAGGGAACAATCAGTATAGTAAAGAGACAACCTACAGAATGGGAGAAAATCATTGCCCAGTATTTATGTGACAGAAGATTAATATCACAAATAAATAAGGAACTAAAAATGTTAACATTAAAAGAGGTAATCTAATCACTAAATGGGCAAATGATCTGAATAGATATCTTTCAAAAGAAGTACAAATGGTCAATACATGTATGGGGGGAAATTGCTCAGCATATTTAGCTATCAGGGAAATGCAAATCTAAACTACACTGAAATTCCACCTCACCTCAATCAGGGTGGCTATTATTAAAAAACACACAAACAAACCCTGGGAGAGTATTGAGAAAATGAACACTAATACATTAGTAGTGCAGTGGTAAATTAGTACAACCAGTATGTCAAACAATATGGAGGTTCCCCATAAAATTAAAAATAGAGCTACTATATGACCCATCTATACTATTCCTGGGTTTATACCTTTGGCCACTAGGCAGGGATGATTCTGTGGATTCAGTCTATCAAGTGAAACATATTCGGGAGCTGGGGATTTAGCTCAGCGGCAAAGCGCCTGCCTGGCAAGCGCAAGGTCGTGAGTTCGGTTCCTGATACCGGAAAAAAAACAAAACAAACCCTAACCCTAACCCTAACCCTAACAAACAACAAAAAAAAAGTGAACCATATTCTCCTTTAGTGCTCCAATTAAAGTAAAAAGATTATCTCAATTTCCTGCTTGCCACCCATAGATAAGAAACATGAGATTCAGAGAAGTTAGGCAGCTTGCCTCAGGTCACCCAGAAGCAAGCCTGCCTTGCTGCAGGCCCAAGCTCTCCAGTCATGCCACAGAGGCTGAGAATCCAGCAGTAGGAGCCCTAGGACTGCAGTCCCAGGTCCAGCTGTGAAGCACACGTGGTAAGGAGGAGCCTGTGTGGTACAGGTGGTGGGAAGAGCTGGACACTGTGGTTAGAGCCTTCAGGCCATTGTGGTGCCAAATGAAACAGAATAGCATCATAATAAAACTTGTGGCTATTTTAAAACAATAATCTGTTGAAAGCTACCAGCTCATGATAGCTTTGATCCCACAGAAAAGACAAGAGTGAAAGCCTGACGGAGCACATAGCAATCTCACTGATGGTAGCTGAGTCCCTAGTGTTGGTGACTGTCTGAGTCCACAGTGTGGATGCTGACTGCCCCTGTCCATACTGTTCATGTTGTCTCTAAACACAGTGTTGATGCTGACTGACTGTACATGCTATTGGTGGTGACTGTCTGAATCCAGTGTTGATGGTGTGTGTCTTTGTTCTAGTGTTGATGATGACTATCTCCATCCAAAGTGTTGGTGCTGATGGACTACATAGTGTTGGTGATGACTGTCTGAATCCAGTGTTGATGCTGATTGTCTCTGTCCATTGTGTTGATGGCAACTGTCTGAGTCCTGGGTGCATTGATGATGATTTTTCTGTGCTTAACATTCTTCAGATGTGTAGAGACCCCTTAAAACCAGCTCCAGGGATCCCTTTTTGATGGTGCAGGCAGTGGAATCTTTGCAAGTTCATGGTCTTGTTCTGAGGTCTGCTATCCACAGTATAACTTCTTATTTGCTATCCACAAGGAGACTGGAAATGATGCAATGAGCAGGTGAAGGGTCTGAAGTGGAGCTTCCTTGGTACGGGGTCAGGATCCCTTGAAAGGGGATGGACATCGATGTGCTCCCCTCCCTCTGGCTCCCTCACCAGACCTTAACCTTGAGTGCTACAATCTCTTTTCCCCTTCCTGCCTAACTCCCTTGTCCTGGCTGGCTCTGCAACTCAAGCTGTCCTGGGCTTTGTGTTATTTGCACATGTTCTGTTTTTCCAACATGTCCAGGTTGTCCATGTGTTGCTAGTCCTTGGCTTGGCATGTGCATACTTTGAGTTAAACACTTATTTTAAAACTACTTCTAAAATTTAATACCCTGGCTCATCTCCAGAGAACAAACCATCCTTCAGACATCATTATATCCTTTCTTCATCATGCCCTTCTTATCCGCTACCCCAAGCCCCCTGAGTCCACTGGGCCTTACCTATATCTACTTTGCACATAGTAGGATCTCCACATTTCCAGCAAGGTTTCTACTGCACCTTTGATGCTTCAGTGCAGAGTTTCTTAAGCTGTATCACTGTCTCAAGGGAGAATGAGCTTGCCCCCCCTCTGTGAAGCTATAGCTCTTCCTTGTTAGTTCTGTGGTGCCACTGCTCATATTGCAACACCCTTGGATGGATTCTTAACTATCAGGATAAACCCAGCTGAGCTGAGCCCCTGACATACAGACACCGTATCTTGTACAATGCATGAAGAGGGTGTGCCTAAACTGAGCAGGAAGATTGCATTCAAATTGAGTGGAGCATCCAGTATTCAGATGAGAATCCAGCTCTCAGAGTCAGCAAGATGTCTGGATGGCTTTTTCACAGGACATCCACTCTGAGACAGTGGGGCGATGTGCTTCTAGAGCACACATCTCCCTGTGGCAGGCAGGGTACAGGGCCCCTAGACTGTGCTATGATCTCGAGCCACATATCCCACTCCCTAGCTTGTGCTGCCCTCACTGCCTTCAGGCCAGGCAGGGTATCCCAGAGGCAGAGTCAGGGCTCTGCAGACCAAGCTCCCCTACCTTGGAGCTGGGGAGAAGCTGTCTCGCAGGGTGTATCCGGGACCTGGGGCTCCAGTGGCCCCACTCTGACTTCCACTTGCACAAGGCCAACTTTTGTGACTCAGCTAACACTCTTGATTGTGCTGCATCACCCCCTGCCCAAGAGGTGCAGGTCCTTGTGCCAGAGGGTGACCCCAAAACCCACTTACCCCTCCTGTCTTCCCTGCTGGGGTTTGTGTGTCTGTGCCCATGTGTATGTATGTATGTGTTGTGAATGTGTATATGTGTATAAATGTATGTATGTTCTCTCTATGTGATGTGCACATGCATGTGCATTATATATTTAAGTTTTATGCATTTAGATATGTGGCATGTGTATGTATATATGTATATGACTGTATGTTGCATGTGTGTTTGTGTGTGTGAATGGGGATACTATCTCAAGACAGTTTAGAAAAGTGAAAATGTGAAGAGTAGTTGTATTTATCCAAAGCCTGGCCTCCTTTCTGGGTACTTCTCTAATCTGTAGCAACCCAGTGCTTTCTAAGTGCTGAGCACTTCGGAGGAGTATGTGATGATGAACACCCTTTAATTCGTGTTTTCCCTGCTCCCTGCACTGCTGCCAAGGGAGTCAGAAGACTTCTGAGCCAATAAGAAATGCAGAGAGTGTGTGCACAGCCCTGGAGCCATGTGGCCACAATCACATGCCAATGGGCTGCTCAGACACTTGCACTGGTGTCTGGCAGGAAAACATCCATGCTTTTAAAAGAAAGCCTAATCAGGTAAAAGATACTCTTAGGAAGGGATAAAAGGCATGAACTTTTCAGCCTTAATTCTATTAGGAAAAAACTGGCTGTAGCATTTAAGAGCTTGTAGAGCTTGATGATAATTTAAAGATGGATAGAAAAAGCTAATAAATTGATTAATAGGAAAGGTAACTTTACATGGGCATAAAAGCAATACTTTAAAAGCATAAAATCAAGACTTTATTATTATAGTTTAATTAGAAAAATAATATACTGCTTCCAAAAGAATAAAAGGTCACAATTAAAAAGATGAGTGATCAGAAGGAATTCTGAATATAGCTTTCTTTCTGATTTGTTCCTAGCTGCTCTATTCATGGTCCAAACACACTAAGGAAGCTGAGAAATTAGTAGAAAATGTCCTTACCTTCAGCTCTGAAGCAGAAACTTTCTGGCCCAAATAACTGAAAATGAATGCGTTTTGAAGAAAAGCAAGTACACGGACCTTGGGCTGGGAAGGGCCGGAACAGATACATCACTGGGAGACAGTGGGTTGTTATCATAGCCTTGAGCAAATGTCATGTGAAATGAGCTACATATTTCTGATAAGTGAAGTAGAGAAGTGGAAAGGAACATTTTCCTGGGCTCAGCCAGTCAAGGTTGCTTCTGACATTTCTGACAATGTTTACAGCAGATTACAGGATTGTAATCTTGCTCTTTTGAAATTAATTTCAGAGTTGCGTTCAGTTTTAGAACTAAGGAATTAAATAAACTGGGGTTTCGAGGAAATGATTCTAGAAGAATTTGTTCTAAAATGGACAGCAAATTTCTCAAGACATCTTGGGAACATTTGCCTCATTAATCTCATTAAAGAGAGGGAACTAACCCTATTGTCCATATTTCTCAAGGCCCCGCAGTCAGGCAGCGAGCTGCGTGCTGAAGCCAACCCCAAACCTTCATATTCTGCCAAATCTTCTCTGTCCAAAGTTCCACAAAACCATTGCCAACAGTTCTACTACTCGCAGCAGAGGCTTTCAGTTCTGGAGTGCAATGCTGCTTGTTTTCTGTTATCAGGCCTTGCAGGGCTGCTGTTGGGACTGAACCACCAATCTCAGTTTTGTGTTTGCACTGGGGATGGAATTTGGGGCCCCACATACCCTAGTGCACACTCTACACCTGACCTGTACTCCCAGCCCTAACCTGAAAGTTTAAATATGTATTGGGCCAAGTTTGGGGGCAGACCTAGGTCGCTGAAGCTGAGGCCAAACCAGTAGCTATTTCTGAAAACATCAGTACTCGCCTAAAGCCAAGAGATGTTCACATGTGAGTTGACTGGAGAGGACTGGGGCAAACTTTGAGCTTAATTTGTCAGAGAGTAAAGAGTTTGACACAGAGGCTTCTCCAGCCTATTTCTGGAGGAGGAGTGGCCCTGTCCAGAGCTCAGGGACCTGGGTTCTAGAAAATTCCACAAAGCCAGCCATGTGCCCCGCAGCTCAGTCTGGGTGTCCATGGCCCCTTTCTTTTATCAGATGTGATCAGCACAGTGTATGAAAGTGAAGCATTGCCTCCAGGAAACCACTGTCTCTACTACCTGGAAAAGTAGAGGCAACGTGTCCTCCACACTCATATTGGCAGCATGTGTGTGTAAGAACTTTGTCAAAGACTTTTGAATCTGATTAGTAATCAGGCAAACAGGAAGCAAGGCCTAGGTTGGACTCCAGCAGGCCAGCAGCTGGCAGACCCTGGGAGCTCTGCAAAAAGTCGACCTTGGAGGGCCCCCTATGTAGGGGCTGGGTAGGCCATGCTCAGTGTGGGGAGAGGTTTCAGGCAGGGCAGATTTCCTACGGGTTTATCTAAACCCTGAATGAGAGCAGAGAACAAAGAAAGTGGCTTTTGCTGTTATCGATGTTTTTTACATGCCTTCAGTTCTGCAAGAAAACAGGGTAAAAACTTCTTGGAAGTAGCAGAGTAAGATTGGCAATGACAAGATTCAAGGCCAGAAGGCATGGATAAGAGCTGTAATGCAACCAGGTCTCTAGGTCTCCATTTCTTTGTGTAAAGTGAGTTGCTGTGAGGATGAGGAAGAGTTGCTATTGAGGTCTTTGAAAGCACTCAGGAACCATGAAGTCATGCAAGTCCTGTGGTTCTTACTGTAACCTGGTCAGAGTCACTGAGGTAGAGTCACATCCAGTGGGTCTGGAATCACCAGTCCACCCCCCAAATTCTTCTGAGCGGTCTGTCTTTCTGATGTAGCCAGAGGACAAGGAGTCAGAACACACTGCAAACTGAAAGCAAGTTTATTGCAAAAGGAAGTGGTACAAAGACACTCTGAGCAGTGCGGCCCCCGAGCTGAGTAACTTCTGAAATAGGGCAGCGGTCCTATTTTCAGGGGGTAGGGGCCTGGTTTCCATCCCCCTGAGGGCCAGCACTTGACTGACTATATGTAAGACTTGTTGCTAGAGGTTTGGGTTTTGTGGGCTGACAAGGACACTTGGGCAGGCATAGCAACCTGAGCAGAGGAGCTAGGGTACAGTGCTGTCTGCACAGAGGAAGGTACCAAATACAACTTGTCAGCTTTCACCATTCACGGGCTCAAGTGCATCGCAGAGGCTACTTTCCTCCTGATTCATAAGGGAGGATCTATGTTCCTATTCTAGCCCTACTTAAGGGTCCCATCTGTCCCTACAGTAGCAGTCATTATAAAAGAGAAACTTTAGTTAGGGAATTCATTCATCTTGTGAGCATTGTAAAGTGAATTTCGCAGAGATCTGTAGATGACCCTGCAGTGGTGACACGACAGCTCCTACACTCACAGCGTAACTCCCTCCTGAGAGGAGTGGAAGATGGAGCCCAGGAGCAGGTGTGGGGCTCCTCTATGCTTTCCTGTCTGGTCTTCATAATCCAGCACTCCCACCACCCTGCTCAGAGTCCTAATCCCTATGGGAAAGGAGATAGGCAGGGGGAACAGAGCTGGTCCAGGGAGGTGGATGGGGAGCAGCGAAGAATGAGAAAGGGAAGAATGAGACAGGGGTGGGGTCTGTCCCTCAGGCTGAAAGGTTGTGCCATTTTTACAACACACAAAATGCTGAGATTGTACTGTGAATCACACACCTTTGCTAATGTTTGCTGCTGAAGCAATGGCGGTGATTTACATGGAATTTCCTGAAATTTTAATGCACCTGTAGTGAGGATGGGGTTCACCTCGACTCATTGTTTCCTGTTTCTTTGCAAGGCCTTGTTATGATTTGGATCTGGTTTGTCTCTCTGTGGTCCTTTACCTGGGAGCTGGTTTGTCATGTGGCCGTTCTGAGGTGGGGACACCAGCAGAAGAGCTTGCGGCTCCACTGTCACAGTAGGACTGGTGCTGTGGCACAGGCTGGTGAGGTCTCGGTCACTGGGCTTGTTCTCTCTAGGGCTGTTTTCACTCCAGGCTTCCACACAGGGCCTCCTCCCTCCTCTGCAGGCTGTGGTGTGGCCCAGCAGCACCTGCACTTCAGTGCCATGCTGTGTGGACTTTCAAGCCTCCAGAACTGTGAGCCAAACAGACCTCTTTCTTTATAAACCATCCAGCCTCAAGTATTTAGTTGTAGTAACAGAAAGTAGGGTAGGGCAGACCTTCAGTAATGCTGTCTGTATGAAACCTCCTAGTTTCCTTCCTCTGCTTTGCATTTTAGTCTGCATGGTTGTTGGGGATGAAGGTGCCTTATAGTATGTTTGTGTCTGTGCAAGTGGATGTCTGGGCCCAAGTGCAATGGACTGCAACTGAATTAGCAAATGACAGCACCTGGACCTTCTCCTTTTCCTTTTAGTGTTGCATCCCCGTCTTTAAGGAAATGCAGCTCTAAGTGTACCAGCCCAGGCTGGGGAGGTCATCTGTTAGGCAGACGGCTTGGCACCACTGAAGACAAAGCCCTGAGCTCACTGTGTGGGACAAGGAGTGTGTGTGTGTGTGTGTGTGTGTGTGTGTGTGTGTGTGTGTGATGCTTTGACCATCCTGGGGCTGTGAGCTTTTTTGAGGGGGTTGGGGGGTTGTAATATTTATTGATTGTTTATAAAAAGTATGAAATTTTCAACACTGACTGGCTTTTGGTGTACAAACTCTAAAAAAGAACATCAGAAATAAATTCCCATAGGAACTACAATGAAAATACCAACAGCACTCTACAAAAAAATAAAACCTTTGCTTCAATTATCACACCTAAGGCAGTCCACACACATGACAATAGCACATTTGATATATAAGCATTGCTTACACTGATAGCACACGTCTTTTGCTTTCCTGGCCTTTTTGTAGGACATAATTGACATCTCAGTGGTCTTACTGTTTTTTTAGGAGATTCTTTTTATATTATACAGTGTGTAGATAATGGGAACATCAAATATTCATAAAAAAGTATTCTTAATATGTATTGTGTTTTGGACATCAACATTTTCACATCAGCTGTGTACTTGCTTACAAAACCTAAAACATCAAGAATAAAAAGCTATGTGAACTACAGTGTAAACAAACAAAACTCTACCACAGCAGTAACTGCCACACCCAAAGCAGTGTTCACACGACAAATTTGTGTTCCATGCACAAGTATCACTTACACTGACAGCACACGTTTTTTGTTCCTGTACTTTCATGTAGGGCACAGTTGATATCTCTTTTGCTTTCCAATTGTCATAGTAGGTATTTATGATGCTGCACTAGCCCATTCACCTGTCAGCTCACCAGTGTGTGCCACAATTTTTTGCATACCTCCCTAGGCAGAAATATTTTAGTTTTCCTCTGCTGTAAATTATCTCTTATGAGCTTGTCCCAATCCTCTAGCAAATTTCTCCATGATATTTTACATCTGTATTTTCTTTGTAAACTGTCAAACTGTTTATGCCACACATTTATGACCAAGTAAAACACAACTATTGACTAATGTTTTGTGTTTCCAGTGACATCACAGTTGCTGCATAACTTAGCAACAACATCTACTCTTGGTCTTGTTGTTGAAAGGTTCCATCTCAGGCTTTGTTTTGCAAGATTTCCATGTTAATATTTCCATCATGGTGAAATGTTGACATCAACACTACCAGTTTGCTTTTCTTTGCCATGCAAGAGGCCAATGTTGTATCTTTCTGAAATTCAAAGACTGTGCTATACAATTCTCTGTTTTGAAATTGCAATATTTCATTTGGAATTTCTGCTCTGTTCCTGTGTACAGTTCTTGTACTGGTCAACTTGTGTTCTGTTAGCAGATGTGACATCAACTGGAAACTAGTAAACTAACTGTCAAATGTCACATTCCAATTGTTTAGGAGAAGGGAGCAACAAGTCTGTTCACAGTATCACTCCATTTATTACTGTAAAAATAAGGACTTGATGGCTGGGTTCCAGGATAAATGTCTAAAATGAATGCATCATAAGTTTTATTATTTACATCTATAAGGGTATAAACTTTTATGCCATACTTTGATGCATTGCTTTTCTGTATGTCTTTTACATTCCTGTGCTAAGTACACCAGACCTATGAAT